ACCACTGCACTCCAGCCTGGGCGACAGAAAGAGACTCCATCTCAAAAAAAAAGTTCTGGAAATAATGGTGATGGTTATGCAACATTGTGAATGTAATTAATGTATTAAACTGCACACCGCCTCTTGAACCTGGGAGGCAGAAATTGCAGTGAGCCAAGGTCGCACCACCGCACTCCAGCCTGAGTAATACAGACTCTCTCTCAAAAAAATAAAAATAAAAATAAACTGCACACGTAAAAATGGTTAAAATTGGCTGGGTGTGGTAGCTCAAGCCTGTAATTTCAGCAGTTTGGGAGGCCGAGGTGGGTGGATCGCGAGGTCAAGAGTTCAAGACCAGCCTGGCCAACATGGGGAAACCCCGTCTCTACTAAAAATACAAAAATTAGCTGGGCATGGTGGCGCATGCCTGTAATCCCAGCTACTCGGGAGGCTGGGGCAGGAGAATTGCTTGAACCAGGACCCGGGAGGTGGAGGTAGCAGTGAGCAAGATCGCGCCACTGCACTCCCGCCTGGGCTCTGTCTCAAAACAAAACAAAACAAAAATGGTTAAAATTAGGAATTTTGTGCTATATATATTTTGCCACCGTTTCTAAAAATTCACCTCCTTTCCTCTAATGCAAGATCTGGTCCCTCTCCACTCTCTGAGCATACCCCAGCCCCATCACACAGCTCCAGCCTCACTAGGCTTTGTCTGTTCCTCAAGCAGAACAAGTTCAAGTTCAGTCCTGCCTCTGAGCCTTCACACTGGTGGTTCCCTTTGCTAGGAATGCTGTTCCCTGTCTGAACCTTTACTACTTTTTTTTTTTTTTTGAGACAGAGTCTCACTCTGTCACCCAGGCTGGAGTTCAGTGGTGCAACCCAGCTCACCCTGCCTCCGAGGCTCAAGCGATTCTCCTGCTTCGGCCTCCTGAGTAGCTTGGGACTATAGGCGCGCACCATCATGCCCGACTAATTTTTGTATTTTTATTAGATACAGGGTTTCACCTTGTTGTCCAAGGTGGTCCTGAACTCCTGACCTCAAGTGATCTGCCCCCCTTGGCCTCTCAACATGCTGGGATTACAGACGTGAGCCACTGTGCTCGGCCTTGAATCCTTACCATCTTTGATTCTTTAACTCTCACATTGCCTCCTTAGGGAAGTCCTCCTGGACTTCAGGCTGAGATCACCATTTGTCCCACCATTTATCTTTTTTTTTTTTTTTT